CGTTCTGTGGGAAGCTCGGGTAAATACCGTGTAATGTTACCCTTTCCCCTACGCCTTCCACATCCAGTCGAGTTATGAATTAGTGTTCACAATAATTCGCCTGCGACTACCAGTTAAATAAAGCACCAACTTCCAAAAAATGTCGTCTCTCTTATAATGAGATTTAAAACAAAGGCCATAAATCATATCCTGACAACTTTCGATTTGTAAAATAGTGAATATGACTCATTTTTTGTTAAAAGTTAACGGAAGACCCACGTAACAACCATTGTTTACTCAAATAAAATTCAATAATGGAGCAAGAATTTCATTTTGGCTCAGCGATTCTTTAGTTTTTGTTGCTTATATCCTGTTTATCTCACCGATATTAACCATCGTTGATCTAATTTAAAACATCGTAAAAATGTCTATACATAGACGAATGAATCGCTTAGTCACATTATTACCCAGTCCTAGATTCAATTTTGCTATTTCTCAGAATTATGATGAATTAAATCGGTCCCTCTATTTTGAGTCACTTACAGGATTGGAGTTTGGATATGCTGAGATTTTACCTTCGAGAAATTCTACGAGGATTTATTATTGAAAAAAAATAACATATGCAGATAACAGTGTTGATAAAAGACACACAAATATAACTACAGCAACTCCAAGAGAATGGAGAAAATTAAAGTGAAAATAAAGAAATAATAATCAATTATGCGAAGGGAGAATAAGTGGTTGTCGGCAAGAAGAGCAACCCAAGATAATAATTACGGGGCACAGATGCAAAAATCAAACAAGTACAAAGATTTAAATATCTGGTAAGAGCTTTAACAGAATAACACCGAAAATCAAAGGCATAGTGGAATACCAAAATATGTCTTCCAAAAGCTAAGCAAAGTATTAAGAAGCCGGAAAGTTTTGTTAGAAAGAAAAAGAAATGGTGTTCTGAACAGCATTTAATATCAGTGAATGATTGACAATCTCCTCAAGCATGATTCCACTGAAGTATGTTGAGAATATTATGGATTGAATATGTGAATTATAAGGAGGTTTCAAGTATAATGGCAACAAAAATGACGCTTTAATAACAATGGTAGTTTCAGAGACAAATAATGAGGAAAAGTTGGCTTGGAGAATTTGGCACTGAGGATTAAAAGGAACAGGTAATGGGAGGGAAAGTAAAAAGACAAACATTGCTTAGGCTACTAAGTTGCTGAAAGCCATGATGGGCCACATTCTGAAGGGACAAAACAAATAGTCGAACAAAGAATTTTCAGTTAGATGTTTAACAATGATGACTTGATGATTTCTATAATTTGGAACAGGATTATAAAATGGCGGCAGGCAACTTGGGATCCTTGAATTCAGTTTATTAGATTTATTCAAAGACATACTTGCTAACTTTCGTTTTTTCAGAATATGAGTCTTAAGAATCATTTACATTTAACTGCTAATTTTACTATGTTTACCTTGGTGTAATGGATAGCGGCTCAGACTGAGGAATCGGAGAGCCGATTTCGAATTCCAGTCGAATCCATTACATTCACTTACGTGCTAATACCCTTGGGAAATGTATGAATCCTCGTCTTTTCTCCCCGCAGGAAATTGAAGGACAGACCGGGTACTATAGCGTTGGGTGCAACTGGTCTACTGCAGAAAGAAATGGTAACCTACTGCGGGAAAAATCTTCTTAGTCATTTATCGAAAGATAGCGTGTATCACGCATGGCATATCACGCATGACTGACTCAACTTGGATTGGTACATGGTTAAAAAGTGAGAAAATTCAGAGTAGAAAGAAATTCGCAATAAATTCATCAACGAAGCAGTTAGACTATCATGGTACAAAGCTATACATTTGCGACAGGTAGTTGTTTCCAAAGAACAGCCCAACATGGAAATTAAAAAAATGTAGATACTGAAATCAAACAGGTGAAACAATTTAGATATCTGGGAAGCGTATTAACAGAGAACGGGAAGTTATACACGGAAAATCGTAGTTGCATAGGGATATCAAAAGATGCTTTCTTAAATCTGAGCAAAGTATTAACAAGCAAAAAATATCGTTAGAAACAAAGAAAAGAATACTGGACTCTTATGTAATATCAGTCATCATATATGGCAGTGAATGCAAGATAATCTCCTCACAGATGAAGGAGATACAGGAAACAACAGAAAGCTGGTTCTACAAAAAGATACTAAGAATACCATGGACCGAACATGTGAACAAATACGAAGTTTTTGAGACAACTGCAACAAAATGGACACTTCTATTTAAAATCAGGAAAAGGCAGTAGACTTTTTGGAGGTCATTGAGGAAAGAGGGTTTGCAAAATTTGATACTCACAGGACAGGTAGAGGCAGACCTTACCAGTCGAGATCGAGTGAATGGATGCTGGAATGAGGTTTGAGAGAGATGGTAAAAAGATACAATTTATTAAGAACTACATAGCTCATAGGACAGGAAATTATCCGGAAGATCACTGCACATAGAATTTGTATGAAAATCATAGCACAAACTGACTGTGAGAGCATAAAGGCAAGCAATATCTTTGTTCTATTATTTCAATGGAAACATTTTGTTGATATTTATATAAATAATAATATCTGATTGATTTGTTTTTCATATTTATTACAGAAATAACTCAATGCGCTTAAAATTGGCTTACATTGAGTTTAAAACAGATGTCGAATAAAAATGGAAAAAGGGGGAAATAATTAAAAAAAACGATCAGAATTGTATCGGACTGGAGAAGTGGGAAGAAATCATTTTGGAATGAATAGACTCTAAATCAGCATTGAACGAAAGATTATTTTAAGATGAAGACACGATTCCCAAAGCGCAGGTTTAGTTGAAAACAAAAAAAAAAAAAAACGATTTATTGCTTATAATTCATTGAAACAACTTTTCGCATCCACGTGACATTGACCAAGATAAATAAAGAAATGCTGAGGTTAATTTCTGAGAAGCAAACTTCCACATCAGGGGATAAGACAAATGGCTTAAGGAGTTTGTAATCGAGACGCAATTTCTCAACTGCCAACATAGGAAATTACACGGTGATTTTGAACAAAAATCACTGACCAATTATTTTACATTATACTGGAGTAAAATCTTTAAACAATTATATTCTATGGAGAATTCATTTGTTCCCAATTATTCCCTGTTAAATATTGACTTATTAATCTCAATCAATTGTAACAGCAAGATACATAAACATTGAACACGCACACTTCTGTGTCCGCAAATGTGTATGTACGAATAGGTGCATCAATATGAACTTATCACGGAAGAATTATTAGATGTATGTTAATCCGGAATATAAGTGTATAATGTTATATATATAGGTTAATTACTGAATTAAATGCCTTAAAAATGATGCTGAGATAATGACATTTGATGTTTAAATTAAATACTTTTATAATGTCAAAATATGTACCAATATATATATATATATATATATATATATATATTCGAAAATTATAACATAAACATGTTATAAAATCACTACAAAATAGCCATTTTGTTTCAACACTTCTGGTGTCTTATCAAGTGATGGTGTTGAATATAGAATAAGGGGTTTTAAAAGCTGAATTGAAAACTAACATATAAACGAAAGTTACAGTGGCAATGTTTTGTCTATTCGTAACCATTCAAAGACCGTCACAATATCCTTTTATTTATTTTTTAAAAACCATTTCAACCCCAGCAATGGGATGACCCCAGTAGGATACAAAGGCAATACATGAAGAAGAAACGATGAAAAGGACAATAAACGAATAGGGTTCAAGCAGAACCTTAAATGATTGAAGATTGTACGTGGGAAAAAAGCAAGGAATCTGAAAGGAATTCAACAGGTGTGAGTACAAGAAAAGAAACTATTAGAATTGAACAGACAGTTGCATATAGCTAGGTCAACAGTAAAGCGGTTAGACATAATTGTTAATCAAGTTGCCATGAAAATATTTGAAGAAATGACAGAGGGAAACTGCGTTACGTTGGAGAGAAATTGTCAGAAGTCGAGATATTATGTCAAGATCGGTTTCATTACAGAAAGTTCTTTAAATTTAGTGAAGAATCTCGAGAGCAAAAGCACCAAAACAAATATGACAGCAGTATTCAATGTAAGGACGTATATAGATATATCAAAATGTGAATGATGGATTTTGTCGAGAAAAATTGTCTCACACAGTGAATCCAACTTTCCTAACAGTAGACCGACCAATTGATTCAATATAATCAACTCACTTTATGACAGAGGAAAAAACGTGAGCCTAAGAAAGGGATATGTTATAAAAAACTGGAAGTAAATTTGCTATGGATGGTCCAGTGATCAAAGCACTTGTTATGAATTTTCATCTTAGCATATTGCATTCTATTTTAATGAAACTGGCATATTTTGAATAAAATTATTGTAAACACATTAGGGTAAGGACCTAAAGCATTGAGTGTGATGTTTTTGAAAAAATCTTTTTTGTGTTCATATAATCTTTTATTTATATTCCTTGAGGCTTCTGATATATATTCCCTAGAGCGATTATTAGAGGTGATAAAGTAAAAGTTTCCCACTTCAAGTTTATTATTATTTTCTTTTGCCGAAATTAAGTATGTTTTGTTTTAGAATAGTTGTTACAAATTTTTATGTTAAGCTTAGATGAATCTACTTCCATTGTAGTTGTAATAGAGTTAATGGGTTAAAAAAATATAAATATATATATATATATATATATATATATATATATATATATATATATATATATATATATGCAGGTGTTTCTAATCCTGGGTTTTACCATTTGCGATCATCAGTTTGCATCCATACAAATGGATATGTTAGCTCTATCACTGATATTGAGCACTTTCCAATAAGTACCCCTCATATATAATATATATAGAAACTATATATATATATACTTTGAAAATCCTTCATTTAAATATAAATGACTTAATATAAAGAGCAATGTCTATATTTTTGTTTCCATAAGACTGAACAGTAGCTAAACCCTTGTGCACATATGGATTTGATACGCCTGAGTAAGAACCCGTCATAAAATGGTAAAAAATAATGGATAAAAAGGTTATGATATATCATATTCAGCTATTTCTGGACATCTTAGTATGTTTATTTTAATATATATATATATATATATATATATATATATATATATATATATATATATATATATATATAATTCACATCAATCTAACCAAATATGTTAGCTCTATCTCTGATATTGAGCGCTTTCTAATAAGTACCGCGCATATAATATATAAATAATATATATATATATATATATATATATATATATATATATATATATATATATATAGAGAGAGAGAGAGAGAGAGAGAGATGTATATATATATATATATATATATATATATATATATATATATATATATATATATATATATATATGCATGCAAAATTGACTACTATGTCCACACGATCTTTCTCTTCATATATCTGTGTGTGTGTATGTGTATGTGCATATATATATATATATATATATATATATATATATATATATATATATATATATATATATATATACCTATTGTGTTTGCGTAAATTATGTCTATATGTATGTATATGTAAATTATGACAACGCACCCTGCGGACATTCTTTGACATCTACAAATTAGCACTTAAGGATTCATTTTCATTGACAACAACATAGGTTTCAGCTTAAAAACAACGAAAAACAAAATAAACAGAACTGAAATATCTTATCGAGTGTGATATTGAATTTGACTTTTTTTTTAAACTTTTTACTGTGTTTATATTAGTTGGAGATGCAGCAATCATCGCTTCTTTGATGTTTGCCGACAGAAAATTAAATAAAAGTAAAACTATAATTAAAATTCTACTAAGAATTAGGCAGTCATCAATTGAAGATGATTTGATAAAAAAAAAAACAAAAAAACTGTTCACTTTCATGATTGTTCAACGAAACTTCGAAGAATGATTCCGTACGTTTGCTTTAAAATACTTTCTTTGTCTTGCGGTCATTTTAATTATATGTGCCGTTTAAATGCGAAAGTGGGTAATGTACGGATGTATAGCAATCGACTGAGTGAGTGATTTTATGCGAGAGGATAACGTGAATCTTGTTCACATATGACGGTTAAAATATTTGTAATATCACCTTGAGGGGATATATATATTTTTGGGATAATTTTTTTTTTACTTATTAACAAAGATGATAATGGAATATTCCCTGATGAGAACAACAATAGACGCTATTTCCCCGTAATAATACAATCCTCAAATGCAGGTACACAAAGATTTTCCTCATTTTTCTATTATTTTGAAAGTTGTTAGTATCACTGGATTCTACTTATTTTAAAGTGGTTGACTTTGAACCGCACATACGACTCAAGAAACTGAGTCTCACTCACTAATGCTTGATAAAGCATTCCGAGTTACTTGGTAGCAGATTTGCCCATTTTAACCCAAAGATTGATTCATTTTCTTCACTCAAAACGCTATGACAAATGTCACAGATACGGTCATCTACAACGTGACAAAACTTCGCATTATTATTAAAAACGTGAATTTTCAAGACTATCGGTAGACAAACTCCATAGATTGTGTTCCAACGAGCGTTAGATCTTCCTGCATATCTCCTTGAACAGCCCAATCACAACTTTCCTATACCGTCTTGTAAATTGCTTTGGAACGTTGTTTTGCTAAATATTCAAGATCAATTCTAAATTATTACGGGTCCGTCGTCAGAAAAGTTGTTTTAAATGTATAAGATAGAAAAATAACACTTTTCTTAATTTTTACTCAAACTTCATGCCATTGCAAAGAGAAAAAAAATTATTGATGATCACGAAACATAAAGGATTCTCCTTCACAAATATGTATTTAGTTGTCGAAAAATTTATGCTAAATATGCTTATTATAGCAAATAGTTTTAAATATTTCATCACAAAAGTTTATTTTTTGAATAAGTGTATATTTGAGGTTTAAAAGCTTCCAATAATTGTATAACATTAATCAAACTCCGAAAACCCTGAATTGTTCCTTTTTGTTTTAAAACAACTAAAGAAATATCACTCAGATTGTAAAATGTAGGACATAATATTTTGATGATTCTCCACCTCCGAGCGGAAAGTAACTTTCCTTGAAAAATAAGTAACAAAACATCAATATCAGCTCAGCGTCAGCGTTAGCATAAGGTAATAATAAGAGATCCTCATTGCATATCCCACATTTCTGGCCTTATGCTAAACAAACTTAAACTTAGAAAAATAAAAGCAGTAGACTTAGGCGATGTAACTAATATTAAATTATTTTCATCGTGTTTTTCTTGAGTCAACATTTTATTAGTAAGAAATTAGCATAAAGTATATAACAATGGAAATACAAAACTAGAATTTACAAAACTATGAATTATGCAAAAATATTCATAAAAATGTTTATATAAGTATTTATTTTACTTCAATAGACCAGTAAATTAAAATATAATTTAAATAATACTAAAGCCAAATTGACAAAAAGAAAATATATCTGAACTAGACCTTTTAAATTTCATAAATAAAAAAATAAAAAAACGATACTAGCCTTCTTCGATTTATTTTAAAGGTAAAGATTTTATTCTCCTGGGAAATATCTTTAAAATCACCATGTACAATTTTATAAGGTATGCAAATCACCAAACAGATTATTAGGGAGTGTATTTGGATTAAGTAAAAAAGATTTACGACGAAATTAATTAATATCTAGAAAAGGAAAAATTTGAAAACACGTTTTTATATTATTATTTTTTATATTATTATTTTTTATATTATTATTTTTTATATTATTATTTTTTATATTATTATGTTTTATATTATTATGTTTTATATTATTATTTCTGTGTAAACGTCTCTGCGGTTGATTTATTTATTTATTTATTTATAGAAGTAGATTTTTGCTGTATCCTCTATTTCTATTTTTTATGTGCACCTGGAAACATCTGCACATAGGAAATAAATAAGTAAAGGAATTTGTATGTGAATCAAGAATTAGTTCGATTTTAAAAAAATTTACAATTTCTAGGTATTTTTCATTTAAAATATCATAGTGAAAACATCGTTACAAAGTTTTCCGGTATGTAAACAACTTTTCGAATAATATATATATATATATATATATATATATATATATATATATATATATACATTTTTTCTATCTTGCATGTACTAACATTACTCATCTTGAATTTTTTCCTATTCTTTCTGATTAATGCTAAAAAGATTCCGTTGATAAAACTGAAATAGTTCTTCGAACACTTTCTTTTCTTCATTTCATCAAGTATCGCTAAGACCTCATTACTGAGCGCCCATATATAATACAATCTCACATATGCAAGTGTAAAATAATATACACATATTTACATCTATCTATCTATCTATCTATCTATCTATCTATCTATCTATCTATCGAAATATACGTGTGTGTGTGTGTGTTTAAGCAGCAAATGTTCTTTCAGGCAAATGTTATTTAAGACAACATGCGTTTTGCGTCGATTAATTTTATTGATCGAATTAAGAATAATTATTCTCATACAAGAAGGAAATTCCGCCAGTAATTGTCCAAAGTTCATTTAAGAAGAAATATTGTCAAATCTTTCGAATTGCTTAAGTCATCATCAGGGTAGGCAGAGACAAATAGTGAGTTTCGTAGAACTAGTGAGTGCAGTGACGTCAGTAAAGAGCATTGTTGTCTAAACAAGGTGTCGTGTACGTGTGTATTTTGTATAAATAAGGAAATGCGGGCTCTGAAATCATAACTGTTTTTATTTGTAGATGGTTGTTTTTGTTGTATGAGTATTACAGCAAAGATCATAAATCTGTTTTCACTATTTGATATTGCTAGTGTTTTGATATTGTTTGGAAGTAGCTGTCTAATGTTACTATGATACTTATAGTGGCCTGATAGTTATAATGTGAGACTCCAGGAGAATATGGTTGTGGCATATCCTATGCAAGACGTTTTGAGTTTTTTTTTTCATTTATAGAGAAAAAATTCTTCGAATGGGCAAATATATTCCTATCATTATACAGGAGGTTGGAAGAGATACATTATTTTTAATAAGTAGTTTGTTATTTTTTATTTTTTTTGTATTAAATAATGAATCCGATGTTTTTGTTTTTATCAACTGCTATTATATATCTATGAATGATGTTAATGTTTTATCTGTCTCATCTTTTTTGTAATTGTGTTGGAATTGGTTTTGGTAATATATGTTAATGTTATGATTAGAACTGGTTATTGTAAAAAGGGTTGTTGTTTAATTGAAATTTGATTAGCTTGTCGATTATGTAATTCAGTTACAAATTATTAATACTTTTGTATTTTATATTATTTAATTCTCTAATGAAAATTATTTGGAGGTGGGGAATGAGTTTAGCACTTTGGATGATTAATGACAGCAGTTTTATATTTTCAGAGCATTCATTGTTGTAGATTAGAAAGCAACAGTTATAAACCGTAGACTTTTTGTACGAAGATGTGGTAAAATTATTGCTGTTATAATCAATGATAATTTCTGTCTATCTATCTATCTATCTATCTATCTATCTATCTATCTATCTATCTATCTGAATAAAAGACTAGAAGAAAAACTATTCTTAGCTGACGCGTTTCGTTCTCTGACGGACGTAAATCGTAGGCTAAGTATGGTTTTTATTCCTTTTGTTCCTTTACAGATAAAATTTATCTGAATATAATATATATATATATATATATATATATATATATATATGAGTGTACGGTCACAGCAATACTAAGTATGTTAGTTATGTTTCTGTAGAGATACCCGACGTTAATTTAATCATTCTAAACAGCTGAGATCTAATATCGAGTCCACGTTTGTAATATCAAATGTTACCTTTGAATGTATAAGAAGAGTTAGATTCTTTTAAAATGTTGCTGGACAGACCAAAACATATTTTGCCTGATACTTTTATTGATTAAAATTGAGAAATGTTTTATTTAAACGAAAAACAGTTAAAGAAGAGAGAGACAAAGAAACCGTCTTCTAAATCATAAAATATAACAATAAAAGCAATAGTCTCACGGGAAGTCTCGTCTGTTCGATTCGTTCAACATCTGTGAGTTTTTCATGAGACTGACCATTTTGACTTAAACAAGTAAAACTCAGGTTCATCTTAACTCATGTTTAAGATAGGTACGTCTTTAACGACCTTCAATAACAGGATTTAAAAGGTTGATTTCCAAAGAATGTAAACACGAATTCCATTACTTGGGAAACTACCATAAAGCAATCATTCAGTCATCCATCTCAGTTAGGGCCGTAGGAGCACCAAATATAGTACAGCCGTAGTGTGTCAAGAGGAATATACATTACGCAGCCTATCTCTCTTCAGGTTGGTTTTGAATTCAGAGTTTCTTTTCTTTTAGACATATAGTTAAGAGATCCTAGCCTGCCTTGCATAACTGGATGAAAATGAAGTCATTTATATTCCAAGGTTATCAGCGTGAAGTGAACGAAACAGAATCGACTGGAATTTGAACTCCGTACCAAGATCTCATTTTCTGCTCTGAAACACTTAAACTCTCCACACAATCAATAGATTAGATATCTGCTGATCAATAAATATGTACGAGATGTTACCGGGCTTAACACGCAAGAGTTAAAAATATGCCAGTTATGATTTTTATTTACATTGTTTGGACTGTTGTCCTCAACATTAATGTCATATTCCCGACGTTTCGACCGTTGTACGTTCAGGTTTCCTTCAGGTGATATTCATTATTATTTTGAATCGAATCCTTTATTTCGTTCGCCGGGCTAGCCCTTTTCTGGATATCTTAGTTTCTGTTATTTTCCTTTTTAGTATCTCAGTTCTCCAAGTTTCTTTCAACTCTGTGGCCAGGTAGCGAACTCACAACTCTTTGGGTCAAATGACTGGGTTACTTCAACCAACGCTTTTATCCACTGAGCCATTTATCCTCAAGGATACATGAGCCCAAGCTCACATGGTCCAGTGGATAAAAGCGTTGACTGAAGTAATCCAGTGACTTGACCCTCTGAGTTCGGTACATAGCCTCAGCAGAGGTGAACGAAAACAGAGAGGATTAAGTTAATAAAAAAATATACCAGTTATGATTTTTATTTACATTGTTCGGAATGTTTTCGTGAAGTTTGATGTCATATTCACGACATTGTACCTTCAGGTCTTCTTCAGGTGATATATATATATATATATATATTGTATAATCTTGGGAAAAAGGCTTATTTGTTTTGCATTATTGTGACCATCTTTTCTTACCATCTGTAAATTTTGTTTATATCGATGCCATTCTAAATCTATGCATACCCTCTTTTGAATGTTTGATTTAAAAAAAAAATATTTAAATTCTTTTTTTATTCTTTTTTTATCGAAATAAAGATAAGTAAACATGTTTACCGTTTATTCTGTTCCATGAGTTCAAATTCGAATCTTGAGCTACCAAAGAAATACACAATATCTCGTTCAAGTTCATCATTCACATTTAAAACGAACTATAATTTGTTGGTTCCAAAATTAGTATTTGATTTGAAATGAGCCTGATCATGATCCCATCTCACCAAGACAGACATTCTGGTATTTGAAGCCAAGCTAGGAATGAACAGCGCTCGCAACAGCTGGAAGATATTTGCCACGCGTGAAGAAAGTCAAGAAAATTTTTACAGTAAGTACGGCAACATTTGACCGATTGTCAGAAACTCGTACGGTTTGACGCTTACTGCAATTTATTGCTTCATTTCCAGGATGAACTTTTCTTGCATCATTTGTCTATGATTATTTGAGACGTCATTTTCTTGGGTTCAAGAATTCTCCCACTCAATTCAGTGATATCCGCAAAAGATCCTCCTGATATATTGCTTGTGCGGCTATAAATTAATCCGCTTGTTGTCAGCTGATCAAATGATCACGGCAGAATCATAGTGTTGTGTACTGAAACTGATGCATCAAAAGCTGTAAACAAATTGATCAACAGTGGTGAATAGTGCCAATCCTATAGGAAGATAATATAAGACCGATGTAATGTAAGAGGATCTTTCGACTCACTATTACAACTTTACCTACAAACCCCCTAAAAACAAGCATTTACGAACATAAGAAAGATTTACGTTTGGACAAACGATTGAACTCTCGAATTGCGCACAAACGTTGCTTAGCATAACTTGTATTTTACGAATATCACCCAAATTAAAAAAGAATGGAATTTACTAAGAATAATACTTAATAATAACATTATTAGCAACTATAAACAGTCACCTGAAACATTATCTTATATAGCCAACCTTCTTTGAATCCATTCTTAAAGAGTCTAATTTCATTTCTTTCTCTCACGGATATGCACAATATCCATATACATATATATATATATGGCAATATCCATATATATATATATATATATATATATATATATATATATATATATATATATATATATATATATAAATACAAAGATCACGTATATAAAAAAAAAAACAGTCTCAGATTAAATGGAGTGCCACCCAACTGTGCCGGCTGACCGCACGAAGGAGAATACATTAGAACTACTAATAGACAGGCAAACATACACAATTACGAAGACATTACCATCCCATGCCCGCTTAGACATAGTAGAATTTATCCGAAATTACATACATATAAAATTACCTATTTTTTGAATGCACGCAATACATGAGTGGCCAATGAGAATTGACCCAAATAAAACTGAAAATACCAATGTATCGTCTGTTTTCTCTCAATCTCTCATGCAGCATTAATAAAAGTGAAACATGTTAGATTGATAAACCATTTCTATTTGATCTTTATCTCATCTCATATATATATATATATATATATATATATATATATATATATATATATATTGCGATGAATATATTGTCGTCTAAATTACGCAAAAATTAACATAACCCTGACATCTCATTTTAACAGATATATTTACCAAATTTTCACAAAAAATATGTTAGAATACTAATGAGTAAATCGCAATTGGCTTCAGCCACAGTCTCCAGACAACTTCGCAATCTCCTGCAACTCTTCTGGGCTGTCTCCTTGTTTAAGTCATACTTGTTTCAGGTCATACAGGGAATTGTGTTGGTTTCGCTCAACCGCGCTCCATAATAATCACGGGGTTACAATCTGGGTAGTTAGGTGGCTAGATGTAAGTGGTGATGTCATCACAGAAATTGTCGGACATCCAAGACTACATTCTTCTGCTTGTGTGGCATGGGGCAGAGTCCTCTTTCCAGACATAGGTTCTTCCATCAGCCACCCTTTTGACCAAGGGCAGCCCTACCTCCTCAAGGCACTTGTGGGCCCCCATGCAAAATGTCTGAAACCCTGTTGGAAGATGAATGCATAACGTCGTCACCGGTAGTTATCAATCTAAACACCTTCGTATTCACAATTAGACTCATCCAACTCTCTTCGAATCCTCTGCCCAGTCCTCAAATTGACACCCTAAAATTGACTCGGAAATGTTCGTATTGGAGTTTCTGGTGTGAATGCCAAGCAGTACAACATACCGTTCCCAAATTTTGTAATGGCGGTCTTTTTCTAACAGACGATGTCCAACTGACCCTATTATACTGCGCAGTCGACAAAATAAAATATAAACAAAGCGAATGCCCGAAATTAAAATGGCGACAATTTACCTATCGAACCACGTGTGTGTTTGCGTGCATGTGTGTGTGTAAGTGATTCTGTTTCATGTTTGATAGCATGAAGATCATTCGCAGACATGAAACTCTCTATGCGTTATATTGGAACACACCTATTCTATAGTTAATAGACTCTCCCACCTATAATTATTAGTAGTAGTAGTAGTCGCCAGTCGCTCAGAGAGTTGGTCAGTCAGTCGATGTCGGACGACCGTTAGTCGGATATTAAAGTATCAGCCACCACAACTATATTGCTGCGTCATTAACTATTATATCAAGTCCTTAACGTTTTGTACGTCGAACCTATTTTAGGGCCGACTTAGTGAAATACAAGCCTCCACTGTGAAACTACTCTATAACACTATGTCTACTTTGATATTTACACACGTTATATCGCTGATATTGAGAATGTTTGCCCATAAAAATAGCCTACGGAAAATAATATAATTTTATCATATATGTATATATATCATATATTTACATTTTTATTACTTCAAATGTTTTTTTAGTGGATACTAGAGTTTGAAATAGACGCCAAATCATTTAATTGAAATTTTATTTTTACGTCTCTATATCTTCGCACTCGAGATTTGTTAGTAAACGAGGAACCAATGTTTTTTTCTGGCGTTCTTTAGAAGGTTCGCCAACTGAGAGCGTCACTACTCAGCGAAAATCTAATGTCAATTTTCAGAATTGCATAATTTCTCGTTCTGATTTTTTCTCGAAAGTCCATGTCTGATTAATTTTATATCCGAATTGTAAACAAAGCAATTTCTAATGAATTCATGGATTTATTTTTAATCCGAGTCTTGTTATTCTGTATACAATATTTTTAACGTCATATATTAGCTTTTGAAATAACAAAATTGTTAGATTAAGAATAAATCCATTAATTATATATACATACATACATACATATATATATATATATATATATATATATATATATATATATA